TATATGTAAGTATGGCTAGACATCTGGTTTGAAACAGGCTTATTGCATTTTAAAACCTCTAATTTTCATCATCCGTAGCTTGTTTTGTAGTGCCTAGTTGAAGTTACAGTCAAAGGCCTTGTTGCAAGGGATTCTTGTCACGTTTTTATAAACCTCTTTTGTCAAATTAAAAGGATTAAAGGATTAAATTAAAAACCTTTTACTTTATTATTAAATTGAGAAGAATGTGCAACATTAAACAGTCATAACTCTGAAATGTCTAAGCCATTTTTGTCAAGCCTGCATTGATTTAAATTTCCAGTAAGTTTTTAAAAGTTCACTCTAATGAATCTTTATTAAGACACTGCAAAAATTGCACAGCAATCTAAACATCTGAACTAAGAAGGTGGAAAAGCTTCAGGTTGAATAATAAAACCTCAACTCAGCTCCCTTGGGGTTGTGCACCTTAGTCTAGGCTTAGTAATTACCTGACCATTATTCATTTGTGAGAGGTGTTATTGTGTATAAGCTGTTGAGAAATAACATGAAATTACATAACTAAAAAAGAGCAAATTTGAAAGGGCATCTTTTAATATACTGAAACTTTGGCATTTGCTCTAAATATTGTCGAGTGTAATTGCTACAAAATTCCACTAATGTAAACACATGTCATCTTAGGTAACAAAATTAGCATTCTTGGAGAAACAGAAGTAGAATCTGAGTCATTTCTGCACAAAGAGGAATGTGAAATAAGTAAAGAAGCAACTCAGGATCGAAACAAACGAGTGAGAGGTGGAAAAAGCCAGAAGAGGAAGAGGCTTAAGAAAGACATTGGTAAGAAGACGAAGAAGAAAAGGAAAGGTAAGTAACCAGCATGCATGTCCTGAAAAGAAGCCTTAATTTCAAGGCATCAGCCTGCTGTAAGTTGCTTCAGAAGAGCTGTGGTGACTGATAAATGGTTTGGGAATTGGGACTAACAATCTCTTTAGATTGCCCTTTAGCAGAGACTCAACTGTCACAAGGCTCTATAGTAGCTCAGTGGAAAAACAGGAGGATGTTGTAACTATGACCTAAGTTTGAGTCATTGCTGTGCTACTGTACTGTGCAAACCAAAGAAATTCCAGTTGTGTTTGGGCCAGATCAGCTCATTACAATGTCACAGTCATTTTCCATTTGCTGCCTCAGAACATCCTCCCATGGGGGATATTTTCCAGTCGGTTTTCTTGCTAACATGGTGGTGTCCTCATTCCTGAGCAAGGCATTAATGCATTTTACTTTCTCAGTTGCTGTTGCATACTCCCTTCTCTGCTGTTCTTTCATTCTTACAAACTCAGCTGTGAGTACTGCTCTCAGCCCTGTACTCTTCTTCCTCTTCCTTTTAGGGATCCACATCCAGACAGATAAACTGTCTTTGATGCACTGCATGTCTGTGGCATATCTGGACTGTTCCTCTTACGTGTCCAAGGTGGTGTGCAACAGACTTCTCTTATACAAGTAGCTATTTACATTTGAGTGACAGAACCGAGGATGGAAAAGCAGCACAGAAGGAAAGAAACAAAAAATAAAGATTGTAGTTAAAGTGTGCTAGGAATAAGGGTTTTTTAAAATCTTTTCCTTTATTTTTATGATATTGAGGTGATAAATCATATAACAACAGTAAAAAGGAGTTATATTCTGAATTAGTTGGAAAGTTAGTGGTGGGAACTAAAACCCTAGTCCCCTCATCTCCTCAGTTGCTTGTTCTCCACTCTTCTCTAGTCAAGGTAAACATTTTTCTCTTTTGTAATTTGAAATGTCTTGCTGCTTTGTGCTTTTATTTACAAGAAACATCACTTTGACTTAATTGTGTGTAAAATGCAGTTGTGATGATTCAAGCTTGCCCTTCAGCTATCTTTTGAAGGCAAGCTACTCCCTTTCCAGTTCTGAAGCACCTAGCCCTAAGGACAATTCAGAGTAAATTAAAACATAAAAGGATAGTAATTTGAAAGCACTTGCTAATGTATTACAGTATTCTCCGAATCATAAATCGTAGGCTTTCATAATGCATACACCTTGCTGAATGCATAGTCTCTAGCAGGTTTTCAGTTTTCCCTGCAGATAAGGCATAACCTCATTAAAATACATTTGACCTATCTCGTATTTCAGAGATACTTTTCATTGCACCTCCCTTGCTGTGTGTCATAGTGAACCATCTAGCTGAATTACAGAAACACAACAGTGGAAAAAGCTTGGCTTGGCTATACCTGTGATTATATTAACTCTATTCTTCTGGATTTGTTAGAAGACAACTCTGTAGAAAAAAGCAAAAGGCTCCGCTACCATGATGAAGCTGACCAAAGTGCCCTGCAGAGAATGACACGTCTGCGTGTCACTTGGACAGTGCAAGAAGACAGCCTGCTCATGCTCTGCAGAATTGCCAGTCATGTACTAAATGCAAAGGTATTTGAAAAGACACAACATGCTTAACACTGGTCCCAGGAATTCATCCTGGTGCTGACCATCATTTGTGTGCCTAAAAGCTGAAGTTTAACTGTGAATATTCTTGTTCTTCACACAGGTAAAAGGACCCTTTGTTCCATGGCAAGTAGTACGTGATATCATGCATGCCAGCTTTGAAGAGTCCCTAGATAAAACTTCTCATTCTGTTGGACGAAGAGCTCGTTACATTGTCAGAAATCCCCAGACCTATCTTAATTATAAGTAAGAAGGTTTCTTTCTATGTTCTAGGTATAAGTTAAAGTCTTCTGAAATAAAATTAAGGGATTTGCTTTTCCCAGGTTTTTGTCAAATTTAAATTTCTACTTCTCTGCCCCGATAGTGCTACGAAATTTATCTTCCAATGGGAAAGGCAGGATCAGCAACTGTACAGCTGACAAATGTATTTGGATTCCCCAAAGGTTTTAGGCAAGTCTCTCATGTAAGGCTCAGGCAAATCAAGCTGCCATAGGATAAAATGGAAGGGCCTCATGTTCTCAGACTAAATGGATTAAAGGTGAGAAACAAATAACAGGAGTAAATAAACAGTTTCCTCGATTGAGGGAAGTCACTAGTGGCATCACACAGACGTATGTGGGTAAAACACCTGCCATTCCACATCCTAAGTGGTCTGGCAGTGGTATGAACACTAGGTGATGAGCTGTCTATCTGTGATGGTAACAGGTCAGTGAAGATGAAGACTGGCTCTGGGCCCTGCAGAAAGACCTCATGATGTTACTGTGTGACTACACAATAAAATGGCAGATGAAATTTCATATAAAATGATTCAAGTGAAAGGGCAGTAACTGTAATTTTACATATACAATAACTAATTTTGACAGATATGGTCTTTGGGCTCTACTATACCATGGAAATGGCCAAAAAAATAAAAAGGAGACAGTGTGGAAAATTATTATTAAAGGTAGAAAAAGCAACACAAAAAAATAGGCAAGAATATAAATTCATAGTACATCTGCATCTTGAAGGCACTGTAATGTTCTGTTTCTAGCTGGTATTCTGCCCGAATGTTCTTCCCACCCCTAAAACTACATAAAAATATACAGTACTTTTTGTAAAAGCACAGAGATTAGTGGCAAGGATAATTAGAGATGTAAAAACAGGTTCTATACAAGGAAGAGCTAAATAGCTTTAAGCTTTGCTTCCTAGAAAACAGAATCATGAGGAGATGTTAGAGAACCATAAAATCATTCATCACATCCATACTAGTAAGAGGAACAAGTAGTCATGGCCAGTTCAAAATGAACAGCAGTAGTTCCCTAAATAGCCTAGAGATACAGGGATATGCAAGAAGGACAGATATGAGAACTCGATCCTCACTGTCCTGACGTTCTGACTAAAACAAGGACACATCAACAGGGAAATATCAGTCAGTGACTGGCAACTAATAAACTGTTTCTCAGCATCCCATGCTTCAGAGAACCGAAAGGCCTCTGAGTTTTTTCAAATCCTCCTCCCTTCCTTTCAGAGCACATCTGCTTCCCATCCCCATCCACTTTCTCTTTTCCTTATAACATCTCGAGATGGTGTGACGCCGACTCGCTTACACGGTGACTCCTCTTGCAATGTGTTTGTGCTGTGGAACAGCAGCTTTTGCAAGAGGAGGAGGCTTTATCATTTATTAGTTTGCATTTTCTCAGGAACAAATAAAATAGCAGGAGGATTTACATTTGGTTTTCAGTTCTATCACAGTTCATACGAAGTGATGAGATGGTGATGAGTTGACTTAGTTGTATTGAAAATATTTGATATTTTGATGTTGATATGTGCATGATAAGTTAGGCAGAATTTTTCTTTAAATCCTGTTTGATTAATGCTCATTTGGAATGTACAGAAATGATGCCTCAGCTGAAATAAGTGCTTTAATTTCTCTGAGCAGCACTAAACTGAGAAAACTATAACTCGTTACAACCCCTTCAATTGTATCTGTTGCAGAGTTTGCCTTGCTGAGGTTTACCAGGATAAAGCCCTCATTGAGGAGTTCATGAATAGAGAAAATAACTATGAAGATCCACAGGTAAAAAGAGAAATATTCTAAAAGGTCACAGAGTGCAAACGCTGTTTGGACCAGTAAATATTTGCTCTGTTTGGGTTACTCTGATTTCACTTCTCATTTCCCCCTTGCACTTTTAGATGTTAAAAACATCATTGTAAAAATGCCACATCATTGCTATTTTGGGAGCAAGATAAGAATAGGCATATGAACAGCTCTGCTGTGCAGCAAAGTTTTGTTCTCCGTTGTGCTTGTTTCTAAACATCCATGACTGTGTGCACATGCACTGTTTCTTTTTTTCTAATCCTGTCACATTCTTCCTTATCTGAGCAAGAAAACAATTTTGCACTGAAATTTCTCTTTTCTTTTTAATTCCAATTTTTTTAAATGTTGCCTCAAATTTTGAGGGTGACTGAGGGAATTTAAGCAAACCACCTGAGAGAATACCTTCATTTGGTCAGTTAAAAGATTTAAGTTTTGAGCTTTCTATCCCTTAAATTAACCGAAGATACGACATTGTCTTCTTGTGTCTTCTGCCACAGTTTCTTATTTTATAAGGAATTTGAAAATAACACCAAATGCATCTTTTGTTGTTGTTCATCTGTTCTGTGACATGTTCTTGGTTGCTTGCTTTTAACTCTGAGACATCCTAATAGCAAATAGAATTAGCAACTGTTAAGCAAGTCAGCAAACAGAACATTTACAGAGCTTTTTAATGCATTCTCCTGGTTTGTCTGTCAGACTCTTTCTCCAGCTTGATTGACAACATAGCCACTTCTAGGGCATTTTTTTGTGAAGACTTTGAAATTACAACATCTTTTACCACTCTAGGAAACTGAGCTTGACAACTTTTCTATCTCTTGTTTTCAAAGGTTTGTTCAAAAGAGTTTAAAGAGTTTGTGGAAAGACTGAAAGAGAAATTCAGTTCAACCTTGGGCAATCCCAAACTTGAGATTCCTGATACTTTGCAGGAGCTTTATTCCAGGTATTTCAGTTATGAGTCAGTTATTTTTGAGTTTCTAGGACAGGACGGGAGGATTGTGTTTCACATTTGACCTGTTCTGTGCTTTTTGTGGTTTATACCTTTTGTTACCTGTTCTTATGGTATCAAAAGAAGATTCAAATAATAGAACAAACAATTCTTCTTTCAAATCCGTACTCCCTAAATATATAGAGCTACTTTTCTTTTTTGTGTGTGTATAAGCTTGCCTATTTTGAAGCATTTTCATTTTACTAAATAATACTTTTTAAAAAACAAAATTCACAATATCAAATAATCATTCATGGTCACTTCCTCAGTTTTAGAGGAAGCTATTAGAGATGTGAATACTCAGATGTAAGAATCAGAAGATCTGCCTTTACTATTTTCCAGATCATCTTTATAAATTTTCGCACTTTTATAAATTTTATAACTTTGGAAAGGGCTGTACATTACAGCAGAAGTACTGCAGCTGGTAAGTGGAAATCCAAAACCTCAAGATAGCAAATCCTTCTTGTCATGGAACTGTGAAGGAAAAATTATGAGTGTTCTTGTACGAATCTTGCTGTCCAGGGTGATCTTACCTAAGTTTTTGCTGATTCTCTCCTGTCTTTTTTTTCCACGTATATCTCCCCTTATGGACAAATATCTTAGTAGAGTGAGGGAGATTGATCTGGACAGTTTATTTGATTTTTGACACTTCTGCTGAGGGCTGTTGGCGATATTTCAACAGATACCTTATTAGCAGTGGCACTTGTCAGCCTCTGAGTTTCATGGATCACAAAAAACCAAGGTCTCTGTATGGCATGGATCCAGTAGAAGGCATGTTACTTTTGTTGCAGTGTTTTCTTATCTCTTCCCTTAACTAGATTTCGAGTTTTGGCAATTGGAGATGACACAAGTCAAAACACCAAAGAGGACAGTCTCACCAGGTGAGAAGCAGTATTATCATCTTTTTTCCAATCAGGACTCCCCAAGATCATGTTAACCCTTGCATCAGTGAAGCTCGTATGTGTACTTTTCTAATTAGTACCTTTTTTCAGCTGTTTCTTGAATGTGTAAAGTTATTAATAGAAAAATAGTCTCTCAAGATTGTAGGGACCTGTGGTATCAATTATAGATTCAATGGATAAATTGAAAACAGGGATGACCATCTCACTATTTCCTCATTCTGGTGGTCTGTTAGCATTATGACAACAACAGAGGTTTCCTATGTGGGTGCTATACCTTAAGGGAAAATGTTACTAGAGAGAATGTAATTTTATGTCAAATCATCTGAACTGATACAAAAGTTTAGGTTGGAAAGTCAAGAAAAAGGAACAAAATCCTTGGTATTGACAGTTCTCAGATGTACTGAACTTTACACATCTGTTCTAGAAGTAGTTGATTGAGTCAGAGAATTTTTGTGCTAGGTTAATAGTTAGGTACCTCCTGCACAAAAATCAAGAATAAAACCTCTCCTGCCTTTTTTTTTTTTTTTTTTTCCAGCATCTATGATATTCATTTTCTGGTGCTACAGAATCTGATTCAGAGCACTCTGGCACTCTCTGATAACCAGATGAAATCTTGCCAGTCTTTTCAGGTACAGTATCCAGACTAAACTTTACCACATATACAACTCTGAAGAGCTTCTCCATCCTACTCTGACAAAGTAGGAGATAAATTGGAGACAAAAAAACTCAGAAGCTTAAATCTGGGTCCATTCTGTATTGTTTTCTTCTTCTTGAAGAAAATCGTGTGTTCCAAGTAGTCTTTCAATATGTTGCCTTTCCCTGTGAGGATAAGACCGCAAGATGGGAGTTTGGAGCAATCCCCAAAAATCATATGAAATGAACTCCACATCCCTTCCAATGGACCAAACTATATGATGATTCAGAGCTTGCTTGAGCAATTGGAATTAAGCTCTGGATATCACAAATGGTCCTAGGCCTAGATCATCTATAAGTACCAAGTACTTAAAGAAAAAAAACTAGAAGTTGGAGATTAATGTCTATCAGACAAGCTTTTGGAAACAGGTGTTCCTGGTAAAACGATTGGAAGAGTCCACTCAGATGTGGTACACAGGAATGTTTTTTAATATATATAATTCTAGCAGGAGCCTGATCCCATTTTGGATATTAAATGTTCTGTAATATTTAGTTAATTTATTTGGTGTTTGCTATGGAAAGCCTAGAACCCTATAAAAGCAATAGAATAATATAAAAACTAAATGCATATGTATCATTTATGTTCTGGCATGTAATTCTATTTTCATTTAGTTAAAGGAAATGTCAGGTGGGTGGGTCTAACAGTGCGTTTGTATTTAACGCATTTTTGTGGCATTAAGTGTCCAGGTGGAGTTACAATAGCAACTGCCAGTTGCGTGTTTCCACTGAGGGGGTTTTGCTCTGCAGACTTTTCGTTTGTACCGCGAGTACCAGGATGACATTCTGGTGAAGGCTTTCGGAGAGTGCCAGAAGAGAAGCCTGGTCAATCGCCGTCGAGTGAACCACACGCTGGGTCCCAAGAAAAGCCGAGCTTTGCCCTTCGTGCCCATGTCCTATCAGCTCTCTCAGAGTTACTACAGGTGGGTGTCAGGAAGTTCACTGCTGATGTGTGATCCAGCACAAGAATGCACCCACGTGTGCTTGCCATGCAGGAGACAATGTGCAGGAAGGATCTAGAGCAAAGGACCTGCCCAGCATGTTGGAATAGGTGAAGGTAACGTCAAGGTTTGTTAGCCCTGTTTGCAGTTAGCAATTAGGGCTGTAGAGGCCACAGAGCCAAGTTTGCTGAGCAAACCTTCACACAGGGTCACAGAGCAGGGACGTAGCACTGAAGTTCTTGATACAGTGGAAAGATTTCTGTAGTCCTCTTGTCATTCTGATGGTTGCTTTCTTTTCCTCCCCAGTAATTTTGTGCTGCACTGTACCTGGATATTTGGCGTGGGGGGAACAGCATTAACTGTAAACTTATTTAATGCTGAAGCAGCAGATGAGATCTTTGCTTTACATTTGCTATATATATATTTGGGCCACACAGCTGTACCAGTAGGTGTAGAAGGTTCATAGTTACCAGCATTAGCATGGAACTTAAACTATTGAATTCTTTTTGTGCTACCAGAGAACTGAAATTTGTGACTAGTAAGAACAGAGTATCAATGGTGTGTGCTTGTTTGAACTTGTTCTTTTGTGCAGAGTTTTTACATGGAGATTTCCCAGTACAATTTGTACAGAATCCTTTCAATTCCTTGAGAAGCTGAAGGATAATGAAAAATCCGACCAGCCGGATAGCTTTTCATTTAAAGATGAAGACTCAAACTCCTCAGAAAGCATGACTGCATTCCCTATGGATGGGCCTGGAGGCCAGTGCGTGGCGATGCTTTCCCTGTTTGCCTTGGGACTTGTATCTGTGAATGTGAGAATCCCAGAGCAGATAGTGGTGGTGGACAGCACCATGGTTGAGAATGAAGTGATCAAAAGGTAAGCACCAGTGTTTTCATTGTGAATAAGATTTGAAGGCCGAAGGAGATCTGACATGCATTAGTGCTTTATGCTCTAGTTTTAGCATGTTTTCATGTTTTGCTGTGACACTGTTTAGGTTATTATTTTTCAGGGAGCGTTTTGAGGATTTAATGGCACTTCAGTGCTTGTCATTATAGCCTTGGACTGCATTTGTCTTCACGTACGTGACATTTAAATTGCCAGGCACTTCACTGCCAGCAGAGCTGAAGTGATGAGGAGAGCAGTGTGTGCTGCACAGGCACTTTCATCACCACCCCTTTTCAAGGGCTAACAAGGATTGATAACAAGGTTTCCATTTCAGAGAAAACTCTACACAGTATTTGTTCTATGCATTGCCTATTCTCTTTTTTTTTAAGCACCCAATAATTTAAATTCCATTCTCACCCTACGTTGTCTAATCTTATGAATACTGTTGTTGTTATCATTATGTTTTCTTAGTGTGCAGCTAAAATCTCTTGCTGCAGTTTAACCTGTTGGTTCTTGGCAGTATACATGAAAAAACAGTATGATCACTTCTCTTTAGAGTAGTTTATTACATATATTAACATAGGCTTTCTTCCATAATCTGCTATTCTTTAAAACAGACCATCTCCATTGCTTTAGTTATTTATTTTTATGTTATCTATATCCTTATCTCATTACCCTTCTCTGAACTGTGATGTCAAAAGCCAAATAATGTATTCCTGTTGGCAGATACATGCCAATGACATCACATATTAAATAGATATGTCTGCTCATACTGCCCAAGATGATGAATGGCCACAAGGATAGGGATTAAAAAAAAAAGAAGTTCAGTGATTGATGTCCAGCTTGTGATTCACTATAACAAGCTTCTCTTCTTTTACCTAGTCGCTTGTTTCCCCTCCAGGATGGAGACAGGTGCATAGTATATGATATACACAGTATGCATTTTTCCATATTAAATTGTTTTCTTTTCTTTTCCAGGCCATTTCTCCCGTTTTCTAGAAAAGCTCTTACCTGCAATCCTGTCCTCCCACATACTTACAGCCTCTCCAGTTTGATATCCCCTACAAACTTAATATGCAAAGTCCCTCTTTTATCATCCAGGTCATTAGTGAAAACACACACAAGGCTGAACCCTAGACAAGTCCCAGTTGCTAATACAGGCATCTGAGTCCTATTTTAAAACTGGTCATGGATTCACACTAGTTTTTCTAATTGTTCGTTTATTTTGGTTATGAAGATTTTAGAAGATACTTAGGGTCTAAATCATCTTAGTAAAGGTTGGAAAGGGGCCTCTGGTTGTCTCTGGCCTAATCTGCTTAAAGCAGAGGCAACTTCAGAGCTAGATCAAGTTTTTTTGGAAATTATCCACTTCACCTTTATCCAACAGGGCTCATGTTCTGTCCTGGAAGGAAATAGTTTTGGTTTCACTAAATCTGTTCCCCTGGCAAGTCCATCCAGGCTTTTACTATTGCTCCCATGTTTGAGGTTGTCTGCAGTGTCTGTGTTTTTTGTGTAATTTTTTTTTTAGTAACTGAAGCGTGTGGTCTGTAAATTGTTTTTATCTCCCTCCTTAAAACCAGCTTGCTCTATGCTGCACTATCCTTTATGGTCTCGGCCTTTGTGCTCTGACATGTGTGCTCTCGTGATGAAGGGCATCCTGAACCAGAGTCTTAGCAGTGTGAGCCGAAACATTTTGGGTTCCTTTCAAAATGCTGACAAAACGAGTGTTTCCTTTTCCAAGGACCTGCACAGGATTATCCTTTCTGTAGCTGCTTGTTCTCAGCGCTGTAAATTAGCCTGCTATCGACATATCCGCAGCTGTTCATGACTAAATTCTAGGATACAGAAAAACATATGCTCTTCCTCTGCTCTTTGTAATAAGTCACTTAAGTTATTATTTTGGAAAATGAAAAAAAAAAAACGAACCCCTAAACAAAATGTTTCTGTTTGCTGTAGTTTGGGAAAAGAAGGACTGGAGGAGGATGAAGAGGAGGATGATGACTTAGATGACAATTCTGGAGGCAAACGGAGAATAGAAGTAAAAGCTCGTCAAGCATCTCATACCAATTACTTGCTGATGAGAGGCTACTACGCGCCTGGAATTGTCAGCACACGCAACCTGAGCCCCAGTGACAACATTGTGGTTAACTCCTGCCAAGTGAAGGTTAAGCTGCGATGTACTCCCGTGCCAGGAAGACTCAGCTATCCAGGTTAGTTTCTGTATAGCCCAACTTGCACAGAAGTAGGTTGGAAGAGGCACGACAGAAAATTCATGAGCTGAGGAACTGATTTGAGCAAAGCCTTGTAACAGGAACATTTTTCTTCCTCCTCCTTAGAACATGTGGTTTGCTTTGCAATGCTTTTTCTCCTCATTTAGAACTAACAGGTAATTGGCTTAAGGAGGGACATTTTGTGGTAATAAGCTTTAGGCTGTATATCATGTTTTGTGAAACCATTAATCCAAAGAAGTTAGTTTTTTAACTTTGTCATCCCTTTACGAAGTATTTCAGTCGCTTTTACAACTTACAATCCGCTATTATGTTATAGTAAGAACTTCCCTTTGGTAAAGAAAAAAGATCTTTTCAGAGATCCTTGGACAGAAATTCACATTTATTTTGTCTCCTAGAAACATCTTCATGGTGTTTAATCTCTGCCATTTTAGGTATAGTAATTTAAACATTTTGATAATTTGCATAATTTGCATTTTTTTGCCAGCACTCTCCTTTGGCTGGTGCTGCCCCTGTCCATTGCCACTGCTGTTGCGATAGAGGTAAAACAGAAATATCTTTTCAGGTCTCTCCTACCTCACATACCCTGCAGGCCTGCTTAGCCACAGCTCATTACAGTTGGACTCCTCTTTTCTTGGCTGTCAAAGAAGAGCAGCTGTCAGGAGTGCCCCAGAAGGCACCATATAAAGGCACCTGCAGATACAAGGGTGGGGAGCAAACAGGAACACTGCCAAAACTATTCTCTAATCATCCAGTGCTGCAAAATGCTATTATATTGATTCAGCTTTGTATAGATGGGGTGAGTCTTGGTGCAGTGATAGACCTGTCCCCAAACACACTATGCTCAAGTGCTTTGTTATGTTGATAGTACTAAGACATTGGAAACTTGTCTGTTTTACCATATTTGGCCAGTAGCTTTCTGCCCTTCTTTACATAGAATCATAGAATGCTTAGGGTTGGAAGGGACCTCTAGAGATCATCTAGTCCAACCCCCCTGCACACGCAGGGTCACCTAGAGCACGTGGCACAGGACTGCGTCCAAGCGGGTTTTGAAGATCTCCAGAGAAGAAGACTCCACAACCTCTCTGGGCAGCCTGTTCCAGTGCTCTGGCACCCTCACTGTTAAGAAATTTTTCCTTAAGTTCCTATGGAATTTTTGGTGTTTCAGTTTCCGGCCAGTTCCTCTAGTCCTATCAGTGGCCACCACTGAAAAGAGACCATCACCGTCCTCTGCACTCCCTCCCTTGAGGTACTTATAGACACTGATTAGATCCCCTCTCAGCCTTCTCTTCTCCAGGCTGAACAGGCCCAGCTCCCTCAGCCTCTCCTCATAGGGCAGATGTTCCAGGCCCCTGATCATCCTTGTAGCCCTGCGCTGGACTCTCTCCAGCAGCTCCACATCCCTCTTGTACTGTGGAGCCCAGAACTGGACACAATACTCCAGATGCGGCCTCACCAGGGCTGAGTAGAGGGGCAGGATCACCTCCCTCGACCTGCTAGAGATGCTCTTCTTAATGCAGCCCAGGATCCCATTGGCCTTCTTGGCCACGAGGGCCCCCTGCTACCTCATGGTCAACTTGTCATCCACCACATATTTTGATTAATAGGGTTCTCCATAGATTTTTCATGCCACAGGCTCTTTACTTGGCCTTCTATGAGGGGAGAAAAAAGATGATTTCCTCATCAACTTAGAGCGTTGGAGACAACACCAGTAAGCCTACAGTGTCTTTCACTGATACTTCGCATCCATGTGAGGACAGGCCCTTGTAAACCAGCTCGCTCCTCTACAGATCTTTTCAGAGGGTGATGTGTAAAGCAGAACGAGGAGTTGCAGTAATGAACACAAAAAGCTGAGCTGTATTTTTAATTGAGATCATCTAGAAAACCTCTTACCTGTTTCAGGTTTTTTATCTTTCCATAGAGCACAACACAATAACAGCATATGCTTCACAGCATATACACTTGCTTTTTATTTGCTTTGCAGATTCTTCTCTGCTTGATAAGATGGCTGTGGGAGTCTCTTGCCTCCCTAAAACGTTCACCAGACTGATAAAAGTGCAAGAAGAAAATTACGAAGTTGATGGCTTTCTTCGTGAGTGTACAGAGTGTTATGGCTACAGTCCCAGAGATGTGGCTGCTGTTTTGGAGATCCGTAATGCAATAGAGGCAACTTCCCACTTTGGGATTGGCAAAGCTGAACTGTGCAGACATTTCTGCAGCTATGAAGAAACGGGACCTGAACACACCAGGAATTTGCAGCAGTACCTTCAGGTGGTTTCATAGCCAGCTGCGTGGCTGTGCATGCATGTGTTTGTGTTTAGTATTCTTCTTGAACAGGACAATCTCCCAAACTGTATGACGTAAATATAAATTGAAAAAGATACATAGACAGATAATATACCAATGACCCGATGGCAAATTTTTGTCAAAGCTAGGAAGGAACAGTTGCAGAAAGTGAGAGGTACCAGAGCTCATGTTCAGAAGCGAAAAGCTTTCACTTTTCATTTAATGTAAGCCGAGTGTTCCAATAAGCTCTTTATCTTTTCTTGCTGCCAGTTAAAGATTGGAAATCTATGATATTGAGATATAGTGCTATTTTGCAGTGCAACCTAATAAAACTTTTTTTTTTCCTCTATAGGACCTCATCGAAATGCAACAAGTTTTAGAAGTAGGAGCCCATTCCGTAAGACTGGTTGCAATAATATTTGCCAAGCCATGGCTACTACATTCAGTATGTCTGAAGAATAAATCAGATGATTCTGGTGAGCAAGGCCCAGACACCACTGCCTCAGACACGCAGCAGGATTATCTGCAGCCAGGACCAAAGAATGGGGAGGAGTGCTTAACCGAGGAGGAACAGCCAGTAAATGACATAAAATCTGTCAGTGATGAAGAACCTCCAAGGAAGAGACTTAAGATTCAAAACGATGAGCTACAAGATAGCAGCCAACTCTGCCAGGGTCCACAGAGCGGTCTGAAAAGTGCAAGTGAAAATAACTCTGACACAGATGTTACTGCTCCTGTTAAAACAAGGGACACTTCAGGTGCTGATGAAGAAACAGACCCCTCGGGAGGGCAGGCAGACCCTGTAGCTCAAGACTCAGCATGTGCTTCAGATGCTGCCAGTGTGGACATTCAGGAGGAACAAGACAGACCTCGTTCTGAGGACAAAGATCTTCCAGCAGAGAATGATGATTTCAGCACTGAGCAGGAGAAGCAGCTCCCTGGCCTTGAAAATCCTTCCCAGGAACAGCATGATGAGGTTTCCCATTTACAGGAGAACCCCGAAGTCTCTTCAGGTATGTAGTTCTGCACGTAAGGCATAGAAACTAGATCACCGTGAGCTGATCCCAAACAGGTACTACATTTTATAGGCAAATACAAGGTCTTTTGTGAAGACAAACACCACCGAGAGGGGTTTTAATTTCTCACAGAAAAAGTGGCATTGCACTAGTTGATCTGGAAGGTGACAGAGGCTTCAAATACATCAAAGATTCCTTCCCAGACCTGCTGCTGAAGTATTCATGACTAATTCAGAAATCGGCTTTTCTTAGAAACATGTTTCATGTCTTAATGAATGAAGATTTTAGATTTAGATCTTTAGATTTTGAGGTTTTTCTTCTCTGGATTCAGCACAAAGAGCAGATGTCTTTAGAACTAGCAAATCCAGTGCTACTGGTTTACATTTGACTAGAACATCAATGATTGAAAGCTGTGAAGCCCTTAAACCATTCACCAGCAAATGGCATGTGTCAGTGAGATTAATAGCCTCTTTTATGACCAAGTTTGACTTCATTTTTATTACGTTTTTACTGCTAGTGTTCTTTAATAGCTAGTAGTCCATGCCAAGAACTACCTCAGATTTTGTGTTGGAGAGTTTTATTTTGTTTTTGTTCCTATTGGCTTTGACTTCAGATTGCCTGTGAAGTTTTTTGCTAATATGTGCCATTCCTCTGCTTTGACAGTTGCACCATGTCCCGTGAGTCAGTACAAAGCAATCCAGAGTTTAGTGGTGTTTAACGGAGCCTTCCTACAGGCTGTCGACTCAGGGCTGCCTAAACAACACAGACTTCAGCAGCTTAATGTAAAACTGCTAATGTATTCTTGATTTAATTAACTCTATTTTTAGGAGTGGAAAAAGTCCTAATTAGTTGTTATACTAAGCTTACAGTTTTTACCAGTCATACTTATGAAGTCCATCTGGCACTTACCAAGACATATGTGCTTGTACTACACATCTGTGGTCTTAAAACATTATCACATGTCCTAAATAGGCAACTGTCAAGTGGTATATCCTGCGTACCACTGAATTAAAGCAAAGAAAAAAGAAATCTAAACGTGCAGGATGACACACAGTTGCACGATTGCAGCGCCAAGCTTTTAGCTCAGTCATTATGTGTCTGCCAAAACACAAAATTTGCATCCTTGTTGAATCTTAGTTCTCAAGTTCCTGTTTTCTTAAATAATGTTTCGAGTGCATCTGAGCAGCTTTTCTTTTCCATTTGCCTTCAAATGGAGTGTAAGTGCTCAAGTTGTCAAATGGGGTAAAGAAAACCTTTTGGAAAGCTCCTGCTAGGGTTTCTTTGACTTCCGTGTCAGATCCATGGTGTGGAATTCTGTTGTCCTCACACATCCATGTGCTGAGTTGGACTTGGTCTTGCCATTAAAGCTTTAGTCTACACCCTTTGCTTAACTGCTTTACTCAGAAGGGTTTACACAGGAGGGCAAGACGTGCTTATGCCAAAGCTGCTAGCCTCTGGGTGCAATGGAATTACCCCAAATTAAGTAATTGTGTAATTAAAGCCCATGTCATAATGCACCGTGGCAGTCGCACACTGCCTTCTCATCAGACCTGAACCCTGCTGAGCTCTCGAGTTTGCATCAACTCACAGGTCTGCAGCTGCTCAGTCTCCCACTCAGCTTCGCTTTGCTGGTAGGAGTAGTAAGGTTAAACCTACGTGAGTGCTTGCAAGCAGAGACCCTGCATCGCTCTTTGTGCAAAACTTGGTTCATTTTCAATCCCTGTAATTATCCATCAGTCAGTCATGTAGCAAGATTATAGGAATACAACTTTTTGCTGTGATCTGGGACAGGGCCACAAAAGCTGTAGCTGGAGTAGACAGATGTGGCTAAACAAACAGCTGCGGAGAGAGAAAAGATCCTGCAGACAGATAAATGCAGAGGGGAAGTTCAGAAAGCCCCATGCAACTGCCAGTAACACATGGCTCAGTTTGCTAGTGTTATTTTCTAGCATAAATCATTGTCTTTTATAGCTTAGCCACCTTTTATTTTCCTTGCACTGTAGGTGTAGAGTTTGAGCTACCTTACATGCAATGTTCATGTCCTTTTCTTTCCAGGAAGTTCTGTGACAGACCTATCTCAGGCAGCCCGGGACAGGTGAGTAGGAGAGATGTCTGCGGAATAACTAACATTTAGCATGACCAAAATAACTTCTCCAAGGAAATGTTTTGGTGATTTTAGTTTCATCCTGTGATGGTCACAGACTATTGAAGATGGAGAACCTTTTCTTTTTTTTTTTTGACTCTCTGTTAATGCTGCTTATCTCTTTGGTACCTGTTTGTTTTCAAGAAGCAATGAATTCCAAATATCAAAGGAGCAAAAAATAATCTTACTCCACAAATAATTTTACTGCCACGAGGTTTTGCAGTAAGACTCTCTAGTAAACAGTAGCTGATGGGAAATCTAGCCAGAAGAATCATTCCCATCAGGAAAACCCAGCAGGCACTAAGGTCAGGGTAGGTCCTTCTGCATAAAAGACAAGGACCCCTTTGCAAGTGTTCGTTCCTGCCTGCTAGGACAGGGAGTGGGAGGAGGAGTCTTGCTGCAGCCAGCAGCATTTCTCACTATCAAAGTAGCAACTGAGAGCGCTGACTCCCCATCTTCTGCAGGGCCTGCGAGAACGTCTGCTTCCTCGGGAGACCGTGGAGGATTGTGGATGGGACTCTGAATAAGCCTGTGTGCAAGGGAATGATGGAGGCTGTGCTCTACCACGTCATGACAAGACCGGGCGTAACGGAACGCGTGCTGTTGCAGCACTACATGGGAGTGCTGCAGCCCGTCGCCGTCCTGGAGATACTGCAGGTATGTGAACCCGCGGCCACTGCAACTTAACCTGGGCCACCTTCCACCCTTGGCCTGCGCTCAGCACGCTGGCAGTCCCAGGGCAACGGGTGGCAGTTGACAACGGCCCATGAAAAACGGCCTTTTCCCTTCAGTGCTGATTAATTAAAGACAAAGTAAGGTTCTTAGCAGTGAGGATGGAGGATGTTGTACCACTGCTCACTGAATTACTGTACTGATTCAGAAAGCAGGTTCATTTTGGTACTAATGCAAGTTAATACTTGCTAGTACACATAATAAATCTAGGTGCCTATCTAGGTAAGATCACCAAATACACACTGGATATTTACAGTACATACATTGTTGTGCGGAGTGTGGCTGTGAGAACAAATGCCAGCCCTTCAGCAAGAAGCAACCCAGAAGTCTGGAATTCCATATACAGCAGCACTGAAATGATCTATAACTGGTCCTAAACCTTGCAGATCTGTTGTTAAATGCATTCTGTATCCAGATGTCAACCATTGTGCTGGAAGGTTTGATCCTGAATAGATACTGTAATTGACAACAAAATGATAACTGAGCACATACTCAGGTGAATTTGCATTGTTCCACTGTAACCTTTGCCATACGCTGCGCTCTCCGGGGATAAGAGGGATGAGTCACTTAACGTAAAGTCTAAAGTTTCTGAAAACAGTATGGTTAGAATAGCATTTAATATGTCTTTTTGTGCAACTTTTGTTGCTGAAAGCATGTGATTTTCTTTTTCCCTTCCCTACAGGGTCTGGAAGCCCTTGGTTGCATTAAACGATTCTACATGAAAAAGCCAACAGTAGTGTCTCTTTTTTCTCATCCAGTTGTGGAAGAAGAGCTAAACAATCCCAAACTGAGTGAAAACCCAACAATATACTATGAGCCTACCATAGACTGCACTCTCAGGCTGGGAAGAGTGTTCCCCTGTGAAGTTAATTGGAATAAATGGGTACAGATGATCCATGTATAAAAGGTTAGGCTGACACATGTTAACTTGGTTTTAGCTGGCAGAAGTGACCATTAAAAAAAAAAAAAAAAGCACCAATGCATTAAGTTATGCTTTTTACTTTTGAATGTATATACTGAGAATAAAATCTAACATTAAGATGCAAGTCTTATTTCATCGTATTTTAAGTACATGCTCTAATTGCTTGTACAGCCTACACTTCACAATTTCTGCTTTATCTTTTGGGTTTTTCTGCAAACGCAACTATGCTCCTCACAGACTGCTTAGCTTTACTGAACTCCTGACCTCACCACCAGTCCAGAGGGAATTTAATCTCATGTGTCTTGATTGTCTTGATCGCTTACCTGCCCTTTTAGGCTTCTTTCTGGATTTTCCTCTTGGAATAATACTATCATCTTGATCATCATTATTCACAGCTGTGACCTGAGTTTTGTCTTTGACTGAGACCTCTGTAGTAATTTGCGTCTATGCTATGCTAAAATCTTAAAACAAGTAGCCATGAAGAACCTATCCAGACCCATCTTAGTAAAATGCAAGATACTGTCAAATGCAATAAGCCCTTTCAAACACATTCATCTAGCACTTTGCTGCAGGCCTGTTGGGCCAGTTCATCACCTCCTCCTGCATTTGCTACCTTTAAGTTACTTTAAGATTTTCCATCCTACCTATTTGTTCTCATTCACTGATACATCAGTTCCTGCTTCCAGTCAGTTTATGATGCCTTGCTAGTTCTCACAGAGCAATGAGAGAAGCCAGCTGATGTCAGTGCAAAGCATAAAAGTTGATGAAGGGGAAAAAAAAATAAAAAGTGTAGGACAGACCATACTTGTCATAAATCTTCAGTTGTGCAGTCCTACTAGTCTGACCAGAGCAATGTATGTTGTCAAATCCCTCAGGGGAGAATACAAAGTGCGGAAATCACATCCATGCTTGTGCTGCCCTCCTATTCCTTGCCATGTAGGTGCACTGGTAACACACAGTATTTTGTGTAATGCCGTTTTCTTTTGTTTTAGATCTGGCACTGGTTCTTTGGCAGGCATTCTTATGCAAGATTACTTTGGCAGGCAATAACCTATAATTGGGGTGTTTATAAAAAACTGAATTTTTCTTTCCCCAAAATGCTCGTGTTGTTTTTGTGCTGGAGATGAAATACTGAGCCTGACACGGCCTCTTCTCCAAAAGAAAGGGCTGCAGTGCTAAACCCCTGCTCCACCTGCCTGGTTTTACACATACCTTCAGCTTTGTAGCTTTTGCAAGAGTTTAACCGGAGTATTTGCTTTTGTTTGTCCACACACAACTTGCTCCAGGAAGATGCTGGTTTCTGGCTGCAGCCCAGCACAGGGAAGTCCTTTTCCCCCCTCCCCTTATCCCCACAGAGGCGGCGTTTTCCCCCGTGACGGCTGTTCCCTGAGGTTCCCCATTTCAGGCTCGGAGCTCTCTGGTCAGGATTCCAGGCCGTGGTTTCGGGGGGGCTGCGCGCTGGGCACCCCCCGGGCGCAGCGCTGGTTTCAGGGTGATTTCAGTGCAACCCCCGTGCCTGGCAGGTATGGGCTCCGCCCCCCGGCCGGGCCGCTGCCCCCTCCCGCCCCGGCGCCGCGGCGGCCTCGAGGGGCCTCCCCGCGCCCCCCTCACAGCAGCACGCGAGGCCAGGCTGGGTCACGGGCACGGGCACCTTTATTGCGGGCGCGCTCAGTCCCGCCAGCGG